AGAACTGTCTTTGAAACCAAATCTCAGGAAAATGTACAACGACTGTTTTGTCTTACTGCCTGGATAATTGTTCTCTTTCATGTTTTTTTTCCAGAATTTATATTTTTCCGCTAATCTCTACTGTTTACATTAATATATTCACTTATTCGAAAACCTAGAAATAACTATGTTTATAATGGAAGATGCCACTACTACGACTGTTTAATTTTATTGATTTTCATTATAAACAATTGTTAAAAAATTTGCAATAGATATAAAAGAAATATTAATAACCACGGCTGCAAGACATTTGTTTTGGAAAACTTGTTCCAGTTAGGTGGTTTCCTTCTTTTGTTAGTGCATGATTGAACGGGAAACCAGCTGCAATCGTGCCAATCACAACTTTTCGGCCCTTTCCGTCACTCTTCGGATTAATGATGATAGCCGAGGTAGTTCCGATTGCAATCGTGACAATTCGGTCGATTCCGTCATACTGCGGAATCAGACGAAGTAATATTACGGAAATCTAAGCTCGGTAATCCCAGTAGGATTTCTATTTTTACTTGATTCCGTCAAGACGCAAAAGTTAGTTTCTTTTATAATTATTTTTGTCTTTATTAGTTTTATACAATAGAGAATTGTTACTGTAGTAGTATTCCGTCTCCAAAGGGCGGTCCTGCTTACCAAAAGATCGTGATTGAATCACGCAGAATATTAGTGCATGATCAAGTTATGAGTTTTAACGTCTTGGTGAGGTAATCTAAAAATAGTCCATGCATATCATTAACCTTACCACGTGCTGATCTCTGTGTTGTCATCATAGATATTTTAGGTGTAACATCGTTGATACATGCTTATTAATTGGTACCATGTAACGAAGTCTTTTAGTGCATTTACTTGTCTCTAAAGCTGCTATATAAATGAAATTAGCAACTGTCAAAACGAATGACTCTCTCTGCGAAAAAAGTGGAAATGAAATGTGCACACTTGTTTCCCTTCAGTATGATAGATTGATTTCCACGTGAGAGCAAATGTTAGTATTTTTACGATTGATTATTTTCTTTATTAGTTTTATACAATAGAGAATAGATTTTTGACAAAAAATATTCGTTTTTACAAAAAAAAGTTGCTACTGTTATCGTCAGCATAACCCTACCTATCCTTTAAAAGTGAAACTTTTTTTTTCGAGAATAAATAAACTAAATAAACCCTTTATGATATACAAATACCGTAATTCAAAAAAAATGTGATAATAAATTGAAACAAAAAAAAATTAAAGGGAAGGGATGATGGCACAACTGAGCAAGCCTTTCCTTTTAAAAGGAAACTTTATTTTGATTGTAGACGTCGAAATTCCATGTGTAGATGACATAGCTCTGAACGCGCCTGAGGGCGCGTCCGTCGCAAAAAGATATTCAAAGGTCGGACAAACAATATGTAAAGCTGGTACGGACTCGGATTTATGCGCCGCAATATGCGGTCCTGTTCCAGAGTTCCTATGATTAAATATAAAGGATATACCAAACAAATGCCAAAAAAAACCAAACCATAAATATTTTTCAGTCCAAATGAATTTTAAAAATGTTAATTTTAGGTGGGGCGAATCGTCACTAAATTGGGACGAATCGTCACTGTGGCGAATCGTTACCCTGTTACCGACAAATTTTATAAACAAATCTTCAAAAATTTATCACACGGGTGGCTCAGTCTCATAAAGTCTTTCTTATTTAATCGAAAATGAATTTTAAAAATGTTAATTTTAGGTGGGGCGAATCGTCACTAAATTGGGACGAATCGTCACTGGCGAATCGTTACCCTGTTACCAGTACCGACAAATTTTGTAAACAAATCTTCAAAAATCTATCACAAGGGTCAAAGGTGCTAGTGGCATTGATTTGACCTAAAATGTGTTTAACCTTGTTATTTATGCACTAAAACATCAACATATTAAACAAATTTTTTTTCACTGTTATATTATTATATAATAATAATTATTATTATATTATACTATTATTTTTATCTTTAATAATATAACAGTGAAAAAAATATTTTTTTTTAAATATCTATTGATGTTTTAGTGCATAAATAACAAGGTTAAACACATTTAGGTCAAATAAATGCCACTAGCACCTTTGACTCGGGTGGCTCAGTTTCATAAAGTATTTCTTATTTAATCGGCATAATCCGGTCACCAGGGGACAATACGTTTTTTTTTAAATATTTTTTTTATTGTCAGAGCGACTTTCTTTAATGACAGATTTCATCGGTACCATGTAAACGCTTGAAAATATGTTTATTTCTTACTATGCGCGCGCATTATCGCTGTCAAAACTGTAAAACATGTCTCCATTTCATATGAAATTTTAATAAACCATATTAAAACATTTTGATACCTGTTATAAACTTATATATTATAACATTTAAAATGCTGTGGGCAACGTCCCCGGGGACGAAGACCGGATAATATATATACAGCGGCAATATGAAATATTCGATCATTTCTTTTGCCTCGTAAAGGGAAGAGGGTTTTCTTGGGGGTCATTTATTTTATAAAATGGGGCTTGGTATGTTTTGGGGGAAGTGTCTTAATGGCTTTTTCAAAGAAATATATGTTTTTATAGTAATTTTCATTATTTGAAAGTGCTGTGGGCAACGTCCCCGAGGCAATCGCAACTACTCGGCCCCTTCCGTCAGTCTTCGGATATGGACCTCGAACGCAATAGTATGAATACACAGAACGGATGCGGTAGTTCGGTCTAACCTACGCTAAGAAACTAAACATGTTAACAAATAGTAATTTAATGCTTGGAGTTGTTGACAAGTTTATTTTCAATATACATGTATGTAGTAAAAGTCCACATAAATTAAGTGAATTCATAGGTACAATAGCAAACAATACATTATTTATATATTTATTATAATGGTTGTAGAAACCGAAAGTACAAAAAACCAACCTGTTGACATTTAGTCGGATTTGTTTAAAATTGAACATCAGTGGGCATACTTAAATTGCAAATTGTTGTCAGACATATTTTCAAGCATAAGAGTACCGGGACACACATTAGATGTCAAATGTATACATTCGTTTTACATTATCTCTGTTTCTGTTTACATCTGAAACCACGTGGTAGAACTACTTTCAATCCGTATTGTTTCCGAGGTTATTATAGATAATAGCCGAGACAGTTCCGAATGGTCCCCGGGGACGAAGACCGGATTATATATATTCAGCCGCGATATAAAATAGTCGATCATTTCTTTTGGCTCGTAAAGGGAAGTTTTCCCGGGAAGAGGGTTTTCTTGGGGGTCTTTTATTTTATAAAATGGGGCTTGGTATGTTTTGGGGGAAGTGTCTTAATGGCTTTTTCAAAGAAATATATGTTTTTATAGTAATTTTCATTACTTTAAAGTGCTGTGGGCAACGTCCCCGGGGACGAAGACCGGATTATATATATACAGCCGCGATATGAAATATCCGATCAATTCTTTTGCCTCGAAAAGGGAAGTTTTCACGGGAAGAGGGTTTTCTTGGGGGGTCTTTTATGTTATAAAATGGGGCTTGGTATGTTTTGGGGGGAGTGTCTTAATGGCTTTTTCAAAGAAATATATGTTTTTATAGTATTTTTTATTACTTGAAAGTGCTGTGGGCAACGTCCCCGGGGACGAAGTATATATACAGCCGCGATATGAAATATTCGATCAATTCTTTTGCCTTGCATTATGTAATCTTAACGGAATGAACTGAATTTAAATTATCATTTTGCATTCATTCCGTGAAATATCAAATATAAAAGCAAATTATTCATAAAATTATGTTGTAATATTTACGGAATGATCTGAATTGGGAACTTATCATTTTGCATTTATTCCGTTAAATTTAATATATTGATTAAATATCATATATTATATATTTGATATTGAAATTAATTAACAATCTGATGTGATCTTTACGGAATGAACTGAATTTTTAGTATCGTTCTGCATTCATTCCGTAAAATGTAATATATTAAACACACGGATGTGATATTTACGGAATGAACCAAATTTGAATTATCGTTTTCCAGTCCATAAAATATAAGAAATAGAACCTTATTGATCAACCATTTGATGTGTTCTTTTCTTGGGGGCGTATCGATTTGCATTCATTCCGTAAAACTTTATATATGAAACCAAATTTATTAACAATCTGATGTGATCTTTACGAAATGAACTAAATTTGAATAATCGTTTTGCATTCATTCCGTAAAATTAAATATTATTAAACTTAAATTTATTTGCACACGAATGTGAGATTTACGGAATGAATCAAATTTGAATTATGGTTTTCCAGTCCATAAAATATTAGAAATGGAACCTTATTGATCAACCATTTGATGTGTTCTTTACTTGGGGACGTATCGTTTTGATTTATTCCGTAAAACTTTATATATGTAATATGTAACCAATTTTATTAATAATCTGATGTGTTCTTTACGGAATTAACTAAATTTGAATAATCGTTTTGCATTCATTCCGTAAAATATCACAAATGGAATGAAATAACATATAATATGATATGCTCTAAACGAAATAAACTGAATACGAATTATCGCTTTCCATTCATTCCGTAAAATTTTGTAGATGGAACTAAAGTCATTTACAATTAGATATGTTCTTAATAGAATGTCACGATGGACTGGATTTGAATTATTCCTTAAAATACATGTTATTTCACATTAAGCCTAAGAAGGCTAATTCGCAAGTACGATATACAGGGATGATTAATGCGCGCGCATTATGAGTAATAATTTGTTTCTTAAATTAATTCAAGCGTTTACATGATACTGATTACATCTGATGTAAGTCACGCCAAATATAGTAACTTAAAAAAAGAGATTGTCCCCTTGGGGACGATGACCGGATTATGCCATTTAATCGAGGTAACTGTCAAAATTACTAAAGAACTTACAATTTCTTCAAAATATCCTGGATGTCTGTATCAAATAACGAAAGTCGAATCGAAAAAACATGGCTGACCTCAGTGACATGTCACGTGATTCAATCGCGCATTGATATTTTTTCTGTACACAGCACAAATTTACTGTAATTTTCGGTATCATGATACATTTCAAAATGTATGATAACCCTCCTGTAATGAATGAAGGTACGGATTTTCTAACTTGTTACCGACTATACGGAACTATTTACTACGTGCAAGTATATTTCAGCCGAAATTCGGTGCGCCATAAGCTTGATGTATAGCTTATAACTTTGGGTCGCTATTTAGCGCAATTTCTATCAATTTCCATCAATTTAAACAGACAATATTGTTACATACTTAATTAGTTTCTACTTGAAATACGTTTATGACAAGCTCTGTACATTTCTCTAAAACAACTTCTGCTATCGGGCAGGGAAAGTGTATTGTTTATTACACAGACTTGCTGTCTAGTCTCTATGCAGGCTGGCAGATATTAGCTATTCAGAGAGAATGTTCACGAATTAACGTGAATAAACGTTTGAAGCCGACTGCCAATAAATACTTAATTATATCCGACTAAGGAAGAAAAATGGATTCGAATTATGCTTTTAAACTTAATAAATTCCATATGTGTTTATTCAAGTTGGTGAAATAATTCTTTATCATGCATAAACATTTCTTTTAATTTTGAAAGATAAATTCTATATAAACTGTATTTCTTATGAATCAATAAATCTAATTTTTGAATGAATGGCAACTAATGAAATGGATATTAAAGAAGAGAACTCTCAAACGGAAGGTAAGATATAGTGAAATATAATCAAATATTAAAAGTTTCATATGAAAGTAAATATTTTATCAGATATATGTTTTACGTAAATTGCAATATTATCTGACATATTCTTTTTGAATATACAATATGTATGTGTTGTGATGCTTTGTTGTTTCTGATGCTTTTGCCTTCTCTCATTGTGACATTTATGAGCATGCAATATGCAATTAAAAATTATTTCAATGTCACTATTTCTCTGAACTTGGCCCTGTTTTTCTGTGAATTTGAGTTTTTATGATGATAGCGATTCACCTGTCTGTGTGTGTGTGTGTGTGTGTGCGCGCGTGCGTGCGTATGGTGTGCGTGTGTGTGTGTGTGTGTGTGTGTTATATAGTGAACTTAAAAAATCTTCTTGTGAATAACCACTTGTCCAATTTCAACCAAACTTGACAGGCTTGATCCTTGGGTGAAGGGCTTTCGAAGTTGTTCAAAGAATTTCATTCCATGCAGAAATCTGGTTGCCATGTCAACCAAAAGGAATAAGAATAAATTTTAAAAATCTTCTTGTAAAGACCCACAAGGCCTAGAGCATAGATATTTTGCATAAGGCATTGTCTGGTAAACCTCTACCAAGAGTGTTCAAATTATAGCCCTGGGGTCAAAAATGGCCCCTCCTCGGGGTCATTGATTTTCACTATAAGTGCATAAAGTAAAAACTTAAAATACCTTCTTGTCTGAAGGTATAAGGCTTAGAGCTTTGATATTTGGTATAATTATGATATCATCTATAGGTACTCTACCAAAGTTGTTCAATTTTTTCCTCTAGTGTCAAAATTAGCCCCACCCTGGGGGTCATAGGTTTTCCTTACATGTATATAGTAAAAACTTTAAAAAATCACCTTCTCGAAATTGACAAATGCTAGAGGTTAGATATTTTGCATGAAACATGTGTAGTGAACCTGTACCAAGATTGTTCAAATCATAGCCTTGGGGTTAAAATTGGCCCCGCCCCAGGGGTTATTGATTTTCACTTTGTACATTCAGTAAAAAATTAAAAATCTTCTTGTCTGAAGGTACAAGGGTTAGAGGTTTGATGTTTGCTATATCATATCATCTATAGGTCCTGTACCAAAGTTGTTCAAATTTTGCCCCTGGTGTCAAAATTGGCCCTGCCCGGGGGGATTCATTTTCATTATGTACACATAGTAAAAACAGAAACTAAAACAAATGTTTTTGAATTAGAGAAAGCTACAGCTTAGATATTTGACATGAAACCTTGTTTGGTGGACCTGTCTCCAGATTGTTTGAATTAAACACTTGGGTCAAAATTTTGCCATGCCTAAGGGGACAGTGACTTACCTTCTTGTCCTGTGATGTACAGCAATGAACTATGGACCACATGCACAACTTAAGTTGTAAAATTGAACTTTGATATGAGGTGACCAAGATTTTTATGATGTGACCTAGATGTAAAGCTATGAAATTTGAACCACAGATTTGAGCACAGATTAAGATGTAAAGTGAACTTTGATATCAGCTGACCTAGATTTTGACAAGGTGTCTTACTGTGTGACCTTTGATGTACAGTCATAAAATTTAGGCCATGTGAAATATGACCTTCACCACCAAATTCACTTGAATCAATTGCATTGATAGATCTTTTATTTGAATAACAATAGGTTTAATAACCACTAATCTGATAATAATAATTAGATAGGTCAGGGATTTATGCATTATGGCAATCTTCAATTGTATAGAAACAAAATAAATTATGTTCCTACACTATTATTTAGTGTTGTATTAATGCGGTGGCATATCATTTTTCACTTTTCACAAATGCAATCTTGTTTTTGTATGAATTTATTTCATGCCTATAATGCTATTTCACAGCATTTTGTTTTCCTAAATTCTTATCTAAAGAATTAATCTGACGTCAATATTATGAGCGGAAATAAACATGGGACATTCTACATCAGAAGCAATTATATTGATCCGATCTTGGGTTTTATTTACATTTGTCCGATCGATTGCTAATATTACATATTGCGTTTTCTGTCTGGACAACCTAATAATTTGCAAAAACTTGTATTATGTCCCCCATCTTGGCATGAAAGTATCATGGGAGGTTATAAATATAGAATGTATTTAATGTTGAACTGGAGATTGTAAAACGCAACAAAAAATACTCACACATACAAATAATGAAACGGAAACTAACCTAACAAACACACAACAAATAAATAAATTTTATGTACCTTTAAAGTTAGCATGATTTACTACGGTGTTCCGTTTGGACAGTATTGATTTTTAATTTAGTCTGTTATGTTACCGCGATGCACGATGGTACGATGGTGAAAACACGATGGCACGTTGGTACGATGGTGAAAACACGATGATACGATGATGAAATCACACGATTGCGCGATGGTACCATGATGAAAACGCGATGGTACGATGGTGAAATCACGATAGTACGATGGTGAAAACGCGATGGTACGATGATGAAATCACGATAGTACGATGGTGAAAACGCGATGTCACCATCGCACTATCGCACAATCGCGATTTCACCATCGTACCATCGCGTTTTCACCATCGTACTATCGTGATTTCACCATCGTACCATCGCGTTTTCATCATGGTACTATCGTGTTTTCACCATCGTACCATCGCGTTTTCAACGCGATGGCACGATGGTGAAAACGCGATGGCACGATGATGAAAACACGATGGCGCGATGGTACGATGGTGAAAGCACGACGGTGAAATCGCGATGGTACGATGGTGAAAAGAAAACGCGATGTAATATCGCATTTTCACCATCGTACACTCGCGCAATCGCGATTTCACCATCGTACCATCGCGTTTTCATCATCGTGCCATCGCGCTTTAACCAGCGTACCATCGTGCATTGCGGGTACAGACTAAATAAAAAGTCACATTTGTCCAAACGGAACACCGTATTTACAATAATTTAGCCTGTATTTGAAATAGTGTTAGTTTACTCAAATAACTTTAGATTTAGGCAAATAGATTCTCACATATACTTGTAAGGTAGTAACTGACCAACAACCAGTTTAATTTACAATTATTTTAGTGTTAGTTGGCGTTATCTACCTTACTGTATATGTTTTATCGTATTTATGTCATTTACATTCAATTTTTAATAAATACTTTAACAAACTATCTTTCTTCTCTATTTTCTTTCAGAAATGCACAAAACTGATAAAATTGTCAACGGCAAAAATGATTCAAATCACAGGGACGCAAGCAATAAATCATGTATCACAAAGGAAGCCTGTGGAACGTTTCTGGATAACTCAGATCAGTGCGAAAAGATTGCCAATCACTCAGCTCAATGCAAAACGCTAGTAAATCATACAGACCATTGTAAAACGCTTATAAATCTCGAACACTCGGCGGGAGCCGTCGATTTTAGTAATGATCAATCATGTTCAAATGACAGTGGTGCAAACACGCCTTTGTTATACAATGGAGACGATCTCTCTGAAACATCAGACAGTATTGCTAGAACAGGCATCCTTCGTCGAAAGTCGTATAACAATGAGTCATGTGAACAAAGTTGCTGTAGCAATAACGGTATCATTATTAACAATCATGATTTAAGTGCGTTTAATGATCAACTGGCAAGTAGTGAAGAAGAAGACACTATTGCCAGTAGATTAGATATAGAGAAAATCAGCAGCATTAAAAGTAAAAGATCAGGAAGTCAAAAAACTAAAAGAAAAGAGTCGTTCGAGCAAAGGCTGAAACGAACATTTACAATAAGAGATGCACATACCAGTGAAGTTACTAAACGTGCTCTAGCAATTATGATAAAATATTCTCTTTTCATCTTCAATTTTGTGTCTTGGGTAAGTATATGAACTGTTTCTTTTCTTACTTATTCATTTAAATAGGATAACCGCATAAAAAGCAGTTTTGTTACTATATACATGTATACAAGTGTATTAAAACCCGAATCTAAAGGCATAATAAAGCGGAAAAAACGCGTAATAACGCGAAGAAAAAATGCGTTATAATGCAAAGTAAAAGAAGCAAAATGTGTAATAACGCGAATTATAGCATAAAATCGGCTATTTTTACCTCTTTTGCCCATGTTATAACGGGACCAAAACCATGTGTTAACATAGTCACGCGCTCTTGTTATAGCCTTACATACAGGGCCAAGTAAACAAACAAACAAACATTTGATGATTTTAGCTTTTTGCCAAAGTGTTATATTGAAATTATTGCTATGCCGGAAATACGGCGTATATACATCGTCGCTAATCTAGGTTGTCGCCCTTTCTAAGAAACGGACAGTTGTCAATGTAAACAAATAAATGTCATTCAGTTTAACCCTCAAAATAACTTACAAAACAAGATAACACAAAATGAATATGAGAAAATGTTGTTTTATTGATGTTTATATTGACAAATTCTCTTTATATTTCTTAGAGAGAATAATGTTTGTGCCTGATATTCTTTTATAAACTTGTGAGCTTGAAAAAAAAACGATTCTGATCAGACTGATGTCACTGATCTTTTTTCTACCATCAATCTGATATCATTCTAGGAATTTCTGAGGGTCATGTTTTGTCTTGGGCAGAGTAATTTAATGGTTTTTTTTTTCTTGAGTTAATAAATCCCCAATGTTAAGCTTTGTTAAATCAATTAAAATTCGAATTTTCGAACGGTTCTGAGCATTTGTATTTCCTAAGTAGTTGGCCCCGGAAAAATAATACGCGTACGTAAAACATGTAGAATTGGATAAATACCGTCCAAGCACAAGTATTTATAGTCTGGTTCCCGTCGTACTATAAAATTTTGAACGGAGAGAAAAGAGCAGGTAATCCAGACTAAAGTATTTAATGTATGTGTTTTGTACTAAATATACAATATGAATCCTTTTTAAAATTTTATGCTATAACAGCGTCAACGCACGTTTATTTCGTGTTGTAAAGTCTGCAGAGTCCCTCGGAACTGTTGGAGCCCTACTGGGCTCGGGCACCAACCGTTCCTCGGGACTCTGCAGACGTTATAACACGAAAAAACGTGCGTTAACCCTATATATCAAAGGGCTGCAAGCTCTGTGGTATTTTCTGATCTTTGCAATCTAAATCGTGCTGTATATATTTTCCTGTAAAAGTTATTGTTATATACTATAATTCATCTTACAGGGCACCGAGATGCAGCGACTGCATTTAGATTTTTTTATTATAACAGTTTACGTTTGATACATACGGAATTTTGCATGACTAGAGTTGCATCAAAAAATCATTTATGTTCATTTTCTATGACAGCCACACTTTATCCTTGCATATCGTGGCTTCTTCCTTAAAAAAGACACATAAAAAATTAGGTGCCTTGACTGGGATTTGAACCCCTGGCCCCGTGTTCACAAAGATTAAAGGATCAGGATCAAGATCAAAATCAAATCTAAAAACTCTAATATTCTTCATTTTTTATCCTCATAGATTAAATTTCTAATATTAATTTGATAAAACTGGACTTGCAATAGCAAATTAATAAAATTTTAGAATAAATTTATTGTAATTCTTACAAGATACGGGCATTTTACAGTTGATCCAAATATCGATCCTGATCCTAAAATTGATCCTTATTTTGATCCGAATATTAAATTTTTTGTATTTGTTTTGTTATTTCTTGATTTTATCCCAAAATAGTTTGGTTTCTTTGCAAATCAACATTTTTTTTACATTTTGATTATTTACCATGTAATTCTAGCAAAACACGATTAATTTTAGTAACATAAAACAATGAATCACTTGATCTTGATCCTGATCTTTTCTTAGTGAACACGGGGCCAGACCTTTCACACCCTAAACAAGCTCGTTACCCCTGCACCACGGAGAGGTTATACGAAGAAAGCCTGAATAAAATCATATAATACTAAATTTAAAATTTCCATTTCGGGTTTGTAATCCTTATTAATTTCGAGGTATTTTGTTTACGATAAACCTGCTGTTTAACACTGATGTAAATAGTTTAGCGAAAATCTTCTCGTCAAAACAGTCCGAAATATATATTCCACTACTCACAGTCAGATTTATTTGTGTATTACGCTCTGCAGTATTCCGTCATCGACATCGCTAAAAATAGCATTCATTGATTAAAATGGCATTCATCCGCGTATTTTGTGATTCTGCATTTATTCACATTTCTATAAGCCAACGCTTCTTTTAAACTTTGAATGCGTTGTAATTTGTTGGATACTTGTAACAAAGTAAAAATATTTCTTTCTTTTACATCGCTAGTATTAAGCTGTTTTGAGAACTACTTGTTGTTAGGTTTGTCGTGAAATTCTGTGTCAGAGATTGAATGATAGCATTGAATTTCCTGATCTGCGATCAGAAAATACAAAAAGGCGTTATAACGCGAATAAAGACATTTTAACGTGCAATTAGAAATCAAAAGGCGTTAAAATGCGAATAAAGTTATACGCGAACCGGGCGTCATAAGTATGCGAATCAAAAGGCGTGATAACACAAAGCAAAAGGCGAAATAACGTCGAATTTAATACTACATGAATGCTAATTTATTATTTTCAATTATCTACGAATACGTCCAAATGCCACAGAGATCTTTTAAGCTCACACCTGCGCTAGCTCAGGGTGAGCTTTTAGGATCGTTGACTGTCCGTCGTCTGTCGTTCATCGTTCCTCCAAACTTGTTCGTGAACACTCTCGCGGTCTCATTTTTGCCTCAATCATTATCAAACTTTGTCAGGATGCTTATCTAGGTAATAGCTCGGATGAGTTCGAACATGGGTCATCTCGGATTAAAAAACTAGGTCACAGGAGCTTAAAATAGAAAAACCTTGTTAACACTCTAGCGGTCACATATTTGCCTCAATCATCATCAAACTTGGTGAGGTTGCTTGTCTCGGTAATTGCTAGAATGAGTTCAAACATGGGTCATCTCGGATGAAAAACTAGGTCACAGGCGCTAAAAATAGAAAAACCTTGTTTACACTAGCGGTCACATTTTTGACTCGATCATCGTCAAACTTGGTCAGGATGCTTGTCTAGGTAAATGCTCGGATGAGTTCAAACATGGGTTATCTCGGATGAAAAACTAGGTCACAGGAGCTAAGAATAGAAAAACATTGTTAACACTCTAGTGGCTACTGTTTTGATCCAAAATATCCTGGAAATTGTTCTGAAAGTTTGTTTTAATGATTTCTAGGTCAAGTTTGAATATGGGTCACCTGAGGTCAAAAACTAGGTCACACCGCCCAAATATGGATACACCTTGTTAACGCTCTAGTGGTCACATTTTTGACTCAATAATCATCAAAGTTGGTCAGGATGCTTGTCTGGGTAATTACTCGCACGAGTTTAAACATGGTTTATCTCGGACGAAAAACTAGGTCACAGGAGCTAAAACTAGAAAAATCTTGTTAACACTCTAGTGACTACTGTTATGATCCAGATATCCTGGAAATTGGTCTGAAAGTTTATTTTGATAATTTCTAGGTCAATTTCGAATATGGGTCACCTGGGTTCATAAACTAGGTCACACCGCCCAAATATGGGAAAACCTTGTTAACACTCAAGTGGTCACATTTTTGACTTAATTATCATCAAACTTGGTCAGGATGCTTGTATGACTTTGAACATGGGTCATCTTGGATGAAAAACTTGGTCACAGGAAATAATCAAAGCACTGAATGTACTGATGGGGAGGCTATGACAGAATGTTTCAGACTTATAGTTTCTTTTCTTTTTGCTTAAAATGTGCTGTTGTTTCACTTATTACCAAAATAAGAAGATATGCACATTGCGCTATTTATCCTTACTGTTGTGTTCAACCATTCATATATATGGTTAATATGGTTGACTATTCATTTTGTTAATATTCCAGAACATTTCATTGTGATCTACATTCGGACTGTTAATCATGCAAATTTTGAAAAACCTAAACTGTCAATAATAAATGACATACCAGCAAGTATGACGACTGTTCATTATAAGATATTCTAACACGACCCGTATTTTTCCCTATTGAACATACGCCCTCGTGATATAATTCCCCGCATCCGAACTCCAAACAGTGATGTTATTGAGCAATAAAATCACAGTGGGATATATTATTTCTTAAACAATAACATTTTACAACTGACGGTTCCTTATCAAAATATTCTAGGACTGTTCATCATAAATACTTTATGTCAGTAGTATAGGGGACGGTTTGGCCCCACGACTGCGCATGCGCGACGCCATATTGGATTCTATTTTTAGAATGACATCATCGTTCTATTTTTAGGATTTGATCATCGTTCTTTTTTAATCTAACGGAAGTATACGGAGCTGACTCGTATACCCGATCTAGGGCTTGAATCGCGGACATTGTAGGCCAGGTCCTCGGCCCTAGACGGAGAGATAATTACCATCATTACAGATAAAAGAAATATTTGTAAATAGATACGTGCTTAAAATTTTAATTTATAAATTAAATAAAAACATAGTTTTTTAATATGTTCAAAATAAATAATATGTATACCTTTGTAAAATATAAGTTGTTAACTTACCGACATCTAGTAAGGGAATGACTGTCATGGCGTCGCGTCCTTGTAGACTGCGCATGTGCCGATCTTTTTTTAGTCTCGGTATTTCACAATCACCAGGAGCTATTTCATCAGCCCCACGCGGGTGTCAATGAATGAAAAAGGCATTAAGTACAGTCGCCACTTTGTCTAGATTTATAATACCTAGCGGAACTATGTTGAACAAAAACTCTTTATACTTCGTTACTGAATATAGCTTTTCATTAATCACAAAAGATAAAAAGAATTTATTATCCTTTCAAACGCAGCGACCGTAAAGTAAAAACTCATCAACGAGAAATT